AGGGACAGCAAAGTGTCAAATAACAGCGTTAATGTCAGCCAGGTTAAAACCCTGGGAGACCATCTGTGGCTGCCTGAAGCCAAGTGTGTCTATGTGTATATGCATCCCCTTACATTTGTGCATGTGTGAGAGCCACATGTAATTTAGTGGTGTGATGCAGCATTTCATCCTGATGCCAAAGCAAACTGGTGTAGCTGTAGCATGCCCACCCTGCTGTCCCAGGGCCCCATCGACTCTCCCCCACAGATGGTAGCAATCAACTCCTGAGGTGCATGTCACCGCTGGTGCTTACTTCCTCTCTATCCTTCTGTAACTGACTCTTGTCAAATATTAACTTTCGGTAATTTTTGCCACCTCTTCTTTTCATTCATATATTTTTTCTCATTTTACTCAAATCATTCCTTGTTCTTCTCCCATATAATTATTTGTGTTTTTCTTACAGCTTGCCTTTTTTGTTGCTTGCTGCTGTAGAGCTCTGTGGTCTGTGGACTGAGAAAAACTTGTGGTTTGTGGCCACCAGATGGAGTTGCTGGTGGCACTGAGATTCAGAGGCTGTTAAGAGAATTATGTATGTCTTTGTTAATGGTGATTCTTATCTCATTATTTTCCTCCTCAGCTTAGCATTGGACAATTGCTTCTCACGTTTAGGTCATCCATCATCAGCTTTTTTGTTTTCTGTGCATTCACAGACAAGCCTTCATCACAACTTGATCATATTATAGTAAAACATTTTATTCCCCTTTAACATTTCTGCTGTCTTCTCTCTCCACCGTCACATTTTATTTCTAAACCAGCCCAGGCATCAGATGTATCTCCCAGGGTGGACCTCATGGTTGTACGCCAAGAGTCAAAAGTACATCTTTTAGTCTCAGTTTTTCCTGATTCACCATGATAATTTGATTGTGCAACAGTTGTCTGCTTCTTCCCCTGTACTCTTTTCTGTAAGATATTTAAGTGGTTGAGACAGACAGAGAGTGGGGGCCAAGGTGGGACAGAGATAACAATGTTTATATGTGGGGAAGTGAAGTGGACCAGAGCGAGGGTAGAGCTAAGGACTCAACACTGACCCAAGCCCCCGCAACCTGGCAGCCCTCCAACCTAATCTTGTTAAAATCTTTCCCTGCCTGATGCCATCCAGAAAGCAGAGATGGAGGAAAAGATAGAGAAGAGAAAGATGGCTGGGGAAGGACACAAGCAAAAAGATGGAGAGGTATCCAGTGAGAGTATAAGATGGGGGTCTCATGAATGTAAGAGGAGAGGGGGAAGCTTAGGGGAGGGGTGGGAGAGGAATTAAGGGGACTCTTAGTTCAAAAGGGTTCCAAAGAGCTGGCTCTTAAGTCCATGGCATGAGGCTAACCACAGAAACCAGTGGAGTAAGAGAAGGGTTGAGATGTGGTGTCAAAGCTAGAGTGAAAGATACAGTATGTCAGTGTGTAAAAAAAAGGAAGTGGGGATGAAGTGGTTTTGTTACACAAGGGTAGACGCACGGTGGATGTAATTCACACAGCAGGACTACAGGAGGTGTAGTTTCCTGTTAGTTTTCAGCTTGGAGTTCTTAAAAACGTTGTCTCACCTCGCTGTCCACAGCTCATTATAGTGTCCACCGGTCTTTACATCTGTTTATGTCTCAATTCTGCTGAAACTTTTTGTACCTGTTGTCATTTGATCCTTGTTGATTTGTGAACAACCTCTTGAAACAGTCATCTCTGGTGTGTGGGTGCATAAATGTGTGATGTGTGTACTGTCCACACTGTACACTGCCTTGGCTCTAATGAGGAGCTAATTAACCGGGTGTTCCCCCAGTGCTCTGAGCAGGTGGCTGGAGCAGCCAGGCGGAACTTAGCCCAAACACACACAGACGCATACCACACACACACACAGGGGCCCATATAGCTGGGCCTCTTTGGCCAAGAAGAGAGGGCACCCAAGGGGGGCTGTCACAGATCTGCACCATGGCCTGGGCCAAGAGGGGAAAGGTGGTGGTCAGAGAGCAGCCCAACATTCAAGGATCAATTTTAGCCTTGGGATTTGGGTTTTGCAAAGCCATCCAAAATCAATTGGCTGTGCTTACTGGCTTGGCTTTGGTTAAGCTGAAGGAAAAATGGGGTTAGATTTATCCCTCACACATGGAGGGGAAGAAAGACACAGTGCACTGTGCGAACACACTTGCATATTATTTGTTGAGCTCAGTCTTTATGGGTCAATTTGTCATTGCATGCTTGACAGAGCAGTCTGTGAGCTACAGTAGTTCCCAGCACATTCAATTATGGAGGCACCTGCTATGAAAGCTGTGATATTTATCTGTTAACCTACCTTACCTGATGGTTTCTCACATTTTTTCTGTAGAGTAAAGAAGTGACCTAAATCATAAACTGAGATGTGTACAAACTGTGCAGAGGAAAACATCAGGTAAAAGCTAAATATTTACTGTAGCATTTGTTCTGCTCATCTTGATGACAAAGTGGTGAAAGAGTTCTCTGGTCTAATATTTTCCTGGGGATTTCTCTTCCTTTGTTTTTGCCTCAGCATACCTCCATTAGCCTAGCCCATAGCTTGTGTTTGTTGTTTGATTTCCACGACAACATCAGGAAGCAGCTTTTACGCATCCTTGAATCAGCCACTGACCCATAAAGGGACCATGTTCGCTCAAGGATAACAGCTTCTCTTCAGACTTTCCTTATTGTGCCAAAATGTCTGGTTTTTCTCTAACAAATAATAACTTTATAAAAAAAAAGACTTTCATGTGTTAATGAATTGAAAAAAATGGCCTTTGATGGAGTTCATTTGCCCCCTCTGAGCCTGATTTTGGTGAGTGGAGGTGCAGCGGTGGTGGGTGGTGGAGGTGGCATCTTGGAGGAGATGAGGTGTCTGTGTGTGCACACAGGCACTTTAAAGCAGCCCCATAAACATTCCAGGATGTTTGAGTAACTGTAGCTCCAAGCTGACATTAACGGCACACACAGAAACACACGAACACCTCCTTGAAGCTACTGTGACTTTGTGCTGATTAGTTTTTCTCATTAACTCTAAATGACACGTTTTCATTGAATCTAAAGCACGTCACTGCTCTGCAGCCATTTTTTAAAATGTCTTTGTCTTTTGTCAGATACTAGACTGACTGCTATTTCTCTCAGACACTGTCACTAAAAGTCTGACTGCTGTTAAAGTCATCACAGCTACACATGTTAAATCAATCAAAGGTTAAATTCTGCAGCTTTCTTTGCATTTGCCACACTTGAACATGTTCTCTTTTATGTGAGACTCTGTGGGCAGATTTAGTCTAAATCAAGAGGAAGTTGTGAGAGGCCTATCGGTACTATCCATTGCTTTCATGTTCCACTACAAGGTGTTAATGGGCACAAGTGCTCACAGCTATGTGTGTGCTTGAAATGCTTGATCATAATCGCAGCCCCCCCACCCAGTTCTCCCCCACAGCCGCCCCAGACGCTCACCGGAGCTGGCGTGTTCTTTGTCACACTTCCCTTAGAAGAAGTTGGACAGGCTATTTAGTCGTTCACATGTGGACACACTAGATACAGATACACACATACACATATATGCACACGCACACAGAATGGACCAGTTACTCAGTCAATATGTAATCAATTTGGAAAATGTAGTTTTTATCAGTTAAAGCAGGGATTAACCATATCACTACCACTAAACCTACATTTAAGATAAAAAGGCTTTTAACTCACTTGATTTGCAAACTTGTCTCAGTATCCCACACTGCCTAGAACTTTTTATTTAGGGTCAAAGGTCAATCCTCATCTGTGGCTCATCTGATCATGAGAGCACACCAAAAGATCCAGCAACATTTCTGCACAAACAGTGCTGCCTCGATATGAGTTATACATAAAACTATATTTTCATAACTTCTTAATCCCAAACAAATGGGACTACATAATAACCTGATACAATTGGGAAACAGTCTGGGAATGTCCCCACCCCCCTTTTATTTTCAGGGTCTGCACCTTGGACCTGCTGCCAGGTTTCTCTTTTATTATGGATGGAGATTGCATTGTTCACAACTTGCATTGCATTTAATTATTTGTTACAGTATTACATTACTTGTTATTGATATTTATTTTTTCAAGTTCACTCCCATCAGATTAAAGTTAGTTAGGGTCTGCTGTGATTCCCCTAATAGTTATCGATTGCCTAGCTGTTGAGTTTTTGGGCAAACAACTCAGCTGTACCTATTTATTTGTGGAGAGCACTGAACTGGAACTAAACTCTGCAAAAGTAGTCTTCAAAGCCACGGCCCAGTGTTCAGATTCCATGTCTGACTCTGATTTAACCACCAGAGAACAAACAAGAAGGGTAGGTTCCTCATTAGACTGCTCAGATGCAAACCCCACATGTAAAGAGTGAACAAGGTTAATAATGTCAGAGCTGGCTAATGTGGTATGGAGGAATCAGTGGAAAAACTGAAAAAATAAAAAAAAGCTGAAGCAATATCGAAGAACCAGTTATTTCAATTGCAAATGAGAGAGAGACAGTGCAGCAATGTGACCTCACTTCACATCTCCTATAAATTGTGGCTTGCCCCATTTAGAAGACAGCTAACTCAAGCCTACTTCTTTATCTGAATCCGGCTCGTTTTTTATAGATTTCAGGAGCCTTTTCTCATCAGTGATTCATGAAATTAATATCTCACTTTCCAGAGATTAATAACTAATGGGCTGAGAGAAGGCGAATTCATACATTATTAAATGGAGAAAATGAGCTCTGCAAATATCACTTTTGACTGATGAGTTCTGGAATAGCAGCCAAGCACACGGCCACAGATTGGATCATAAACCACTCACGATCATAATGGAAAAAACTCTCCCAGCTTTCGTGTCATATACATGGTGGTACGCATATGTTTTACTGCAATGAACACTTAAATTTACATAAATACTGTGAAGATACTGTAAACGTTTACATCTATCTTACTCGCCTTTGCTGATGCAGTCCTACAAATAGCAGTGTTAACTTTCTTCTCCCCTCCGCAGCGTGTAACTGCAACCTCCATGCCCGCCGTTGTCGATTCAACATGGAGTTGTACAAGCTGTCAGGGAGGAAAAGCGGAGGGGTCTGCATGAACTGTCGCCACAACACCGCAGGACGCCACTGCCACTACTGCAAGGAGGGCTTTTACAGAGACATGGCCCAACCGATCACTCACCGACGAGCCTGCAAAGGTAAGCCACAGATTTGAAAGCAGTGTCATTCTTTGCTCTTTGCTCAGTGTGCTATAAATACTCATTGATTTTGCTGAAAACTTCTTAGAAATCACTTTTTCATTCAATAGAAATTTTACACAGAGATCAGGGCAAACCGCCAGTGTTTCGACCCTTCTTCAAGGCAGATGTTTTACTTTGAGCCCCTTTTACACTAGACTTAAAAATGCTGGCAAACTGCCGCTCCGGTGTTCATTTTACACACATGCCACAATCCTGGTACAAGGATTGGCGGCCACTTTGAAAATAAACAGATGTCTGCTATCTACAGTACTACAGTTATAAATGGAAATCAGGAACTGCAGTACTATGTGTATCCGATTTCAGGTCTGTATGTCTGTTTGAGGGCAGGGTTACACTCATTCAAGGTTCCCGCATCTTTCACACAAAATCCTTCCCACAGGCTTCTGCAGAGCATTGGCTGTGTTTATTCATGCTTTACAATGTAACGACAATGAAAACTATCACAAAATATAGTTTTAATTCTGAGAATCACTTTGTTCTCACTGACACCGCCTCCTCTCCTCATTTAGTTTTTATTTCTCTCACTCACGCGGACCTCCAACCCCAATTTTGCCTCGTCCCATTTATGCAGGTGAACTCATCTCAGCAAAAATAACACCTCTCACTGAGGCATTTTGGAAGGTCATCAATGATCCCCCATGCCAGTAATGTACCTTTCACACAGAACGGCGAGGCGCATTGAATGGGCGGTGTAAAAGTGGCTATGACTGTTCACACAGCGCTAACTACCCTGTTCTTCATCTGCTGTCAAAAACATAATCAACAAGCACTCTGTGTTTACAACAACTAATGCAAAGGTTTTAGTATCACTTTTGTATATCAACCACCACTATAGTAACAAAATGAATATATATTTAAAGGAAAATGTAATCGATTACTACAATAAGCTTAGTTTGACATTTTGAGCTGTGCTAAATGCTTTCACAGTGTTCAAACAAAGGGTGATTGAGGTATTCTAAAACTATTAATACTTGTGTAATTATATCATTTCTGAGAAAGCATAAACGAAGGAACATGTTACGACTGGAAACACACAGTCACAGTAACTTGAAGTAAAAAAAAACATCAGCACATCTGACTTGTTATACCATAGCAGAGAGAATTGAATTGAGACTCTGCCTGACGTGTTTCTGGCCATTCTCCATACAACATAATACATATTATCACTTGATCAAGACATTTTTCAGGGAAAAACGTATTTTACTTCTGTTACTACTGTATTATTTCACATTTGCAGTGAATATTTTTCAGCCTGATATTTAACTGGAAGCATTGCAATCCTCTGACTGGACTCATTGCAAAAACAACACCAGTTTCCTGTACTTGTTGGTCAGGAAAGTACTCAAATCAACAGCAGAGACGGAGGTTTTTTCCTGTTGCTCCTGATGAATGTAAAAAATCATTTCCAGAACATAAAAAACAGCACTGGTGAGAGCTGCCAGTGCTCATAGCCATGAAGATCTTATGGGTGAAATTTCATAGTGAGAATCTCCCACTGGCTTTCACTCAGTTTTCCTTCTGCAGCCGACCCAAGCTGTAACCCAACACCAGAAGGTTTGAAATGGCATGGTATCAGGCCACAGTTGCCCTTGTTAGCTGTGCTGAGATGTTAAGCCATTCATCATATAATGGCAATGACTCCACAGTGACTTGGTTACATACCTTAAAACCTAAGTCATTTGACAGACACTGAAACACTGACAGAAATAGATCTGCCTCAGTCCCAACAGATCAGCCCTGAGATCTGTCATTCCCTGCAGGTGTTCCCTAATCTTCCATTTTCTGCAATACCTGGGAGTGTGATGCTTTCACACACATGCAGGTTCCATGACACTATATGGCACTATGAACCAGTAGTAAACAGTTGATCTTTCTCCATCATACACGGTACAGATGTGACAAAAATGAAAGTTAATGCTCGAAAAGCCTCTGCTGAGCAGCTGGCTCCATGACTTCTGACAACTTTCATTATGACTTAGTACAATCTTATAAAACGTCTCTTTTGGCATCCTTGATTTTATTTTTCAATTCAGATTTTTTTATTTTAATTTTTTGTCAAGGTCAAGACAGAGGTCGAAGGTGCAGTATGACTGAAGAGTTTGAGTGTCACATGTGAACTGGAGTTATGACAATAAAATACAGGTGTTTCCTAAAGCTGAAACAGGAGAGGTGAAGGCTGGGGGCAGTGCAGAGATAATGAATGCACCATGTCTGTTTCTGATCAGACCTGCTCTAGATGGGTGTCTATACGCAGTCTGAGAATTATGGTGAAACTATCTCATTCCTGCCTCCATCACCACCACCACATACACCCCCCGCATACGCTAAGTACACACTGTCTTCCTTGCTAGATACTAAGGTGCCCTTTCAAAGTGACACTGCACAGCTTCAGCTTACTGGTTCGGATGCCCGGGCAACTGTGTCTTCGTGAACCCTTTACAGTGTCACAAACATTAAAACAGTCAGCGAATTAAAGAAACAAATATCCTGGCTGCACTATATGAAGAGTTCAAAATACAAGGTTTGTAGCCATACAGCTGACCACAGGGAACATTGGTAAAAAACATTTAAAATGGGGCCATAGTTCATGTGAAGCTCTGCCAGCCAATATAAACCACACTGTTGAAAATGTCGTAATTCCTGAAGCCGGGCAGGATATTTACTGTCACTGTGGACAAAAACGTCTTATGCATACTAACTTACTAGGGCAGGGCAAAGTGAGTAGAATAGTACATATAGCAGCATAAAATCTGTAGCAAATCTATGAGAAACAGTATTGCAATTCTTATTAGTTCCACCAGATGGCATAATCTCTTTTGGGTACTCCCAAGAAACGGGAAACCATCTTCTTTACTGTAGGGCTGACACATGTTGTACTGGAAACTTAGGCTGTTTCCTGATGAAATTCATTGAAGTGAACCCAGAAGAAACCAGATATATGGTGTCTCGCTCGCTACGAGGCAGTTTGTGAGACAGCAGGTTAAACACCAGAATAGCCACCACAATTATTTTTGCACTGGCTCTTTCTTTTGTTTGTTGGTTACCTTTGTGGATTTTTTGACTTTGTATAAATAGTTTTTGCCATCTTTTGCATAGCTTTGTATGTTATTTATTTTTACCTTTTTATCATCGGAAGCTTTTATCCAGTTGTTCATATTATTGCATTCAGTGAAGAGTCGCTGTGCATAGCAGGGAGCAGGACTTTTATTTATTTTAACAATCAACTAGCCACCAGAATATAATTGACTCTTAAAACATATTTTCCAACCGAGGGTACAAATAAGGCCATGTTGTCCAAATTTTGCAGCTGCCAGTAACTGCAGATAAAGAGCAGTCCCTGCCATATGAACACAGAAAGCACAGAGCAACACGGTTAAACTGAGCAAACGCTTGTCAAATCCCAATGCGGTCGGTGCCTGTCACATCCGCAATCACACAGGCTTGAAAAGTCATCAGCATCTGAGAACTTTTTACTGCTTCTTAACTGGCCCAAGCCTCTGCACATAAAACTTCAGAGAAAAGTTTGAGGAGAAGAGCTGGGGGGTGGAGATTGACACATACACCCACCACCATCGCCGCCCCGAATACTTTCTGCCTATTCAGATCTGGCAGTACTGGTTGTTTACTGAACTTTGTAGAGGCAGTAAACTCTGATGTCTTACAACAAACTATGATTGTTTAGAAGGGAAGTGAGAATGCCTGTCATCCACATGTTATTCATACTGACTAGATCGGGTTGGCAGCCCATGCTCTTCACAGATTAGCTGGTAAACAATGGCTTGTCGTTCCTTCTGCTTTGCCACATGTCTCGACAAGCGTGACAGAACGACACCAGACTTGTGTCAGACAGATCACATATCAGGGAGTTTATCCCATGTGTTTTGACACAGGGAACATCATCCCACTGGCAAGAGTAAACCTAAACTCAAATTAGGTTATTTAATTTTGATCAAACCAGCTTGTTTAGATTTCAGTTGAAATCAGAGCAACCACTTAATGAACAGTGTAGAATAACAAATGAGCTGAGGCTATCCTCTGTAGACCAGGGGTTCATACTCTGTCTCTTAGTGCACTAATCACCTGGTTTTATAACACAACACGACACAGGCTCTGAGAATGCCAGAAATTCCCCAGTATTCCATGGACACTGTATCATTTGGGAACAGTGGCATGAGCTCTGGCCCTGTCTGGCGAATAAGAGCTGTGGTATGTGGGTGATCATATTCATTATGTGGCTGACAGAGCAACAGAAAGATCCTTGTCGACATGACATCTGGCCTCCGACTCAGTCCTGTGTCACAAATTCTTACTAAGTGCCATGAAAGCTTCACGGTTTCCTGGCTGGACTAACATGACTCAAATGGTGGAGATTTTGCACGGACACTGAAGCATCAAATTTACGTCTCTGTGCACAACTTCAAACAGAGTACAACTACTTTAGTACCTGTGGACCGCTTGGCCTTGCTGAAAAAGACAAACGTGCTTCTGAAGATCTGAAGATCTGAGCTGCAGTTAGTCCCCATCACCACCACCACACAGCTCTTGGGTCAGTTTCAGACATTACAACCCTCCCTCCCTCGACACATTCAACAGGTGGTAGAGTCTTTAAGGCCTCTTTAGCTAAAATATGTCCACCACAAATAAACACATTCAAATTTCCGTCAAGTGGTAGGGAGAAACTGTGACATGTTTGCAGCTGCTTTTCTCTGGAAGGCCCTGTAACAAATTGTTGGGTTACTGGGTTTTTCCCCGAAGTGTAATTGTGGCCTTTCTTGTCTTTTCTTGATAAGCTTTGGACAATTACAGCTATCATGTTACAGTCAAGTCACTCCAAGTTTGCTTTAGTAATTTTGCACTAGCTTGCGCCTGTTTTCCAACGAATTAGGTGGAAAATATGGGGAAAGGTTTGTTGTATTTTTTGGAAGCATGTCAGTAGATAAATAGAAAAGGATTATTTTCTGTACTTTCACTTTATTTTGAATACAGTGTCAAAGTGAAAACCAGTCACTCACACTGTACTCAAGAAGATGTAAAAGTTTTTATATGTCACCTACGTATGTATCTGTCTGGCTGACCCCACTGTGAATTGTTAAGTATGTGTTTATTATCTGAAGAACAAATGCTTCTTGGTTGAGCCGGTGCGTCCACAGTTTTGGTAAGATTCACTGCACTTTATGCTGTTGAGCACACCAGAGGCTCTGTTTGGACTTTACTGAAGTGCTGCGCCTCTCACTCTCTTCCCATTTCTGTCTTATCCCCTCCTTTACTTCTTATTCTCCTTTATCTTCTCACACACCCTATAAATCTCTGTCAGAAAGCTTCAGACCAATCCATCAGCTCTTGTATTTAACAGCTCTTCAAACCAAAACAGCCTAATGTGGCTTAATGTGGTTTAAATAAATCACCTAGAACCGGCAAAAGTCATACAAATGTTGCCAGAGTGAGGTCACTGGAGCATTGCTTGTTGCTGTTGGCAATTTTTTTTAATGTACCGATTGAACTTTCGGGAAGTGATGAAACAGGAGAGCATGTGTCACCAAGCCGGTATCAGTGTAGCATTTAGGAAAGCGGAAACAAGCAGAGTGGAGAGAAGAGGCCGCCGTGTGCTTTTCTGGTTCTCCTGACAGTGATGCAATAGATGCATCCCTCCAACCGCCTGTCTGTCTCGTTGTTGTTTTACCTGTCCCCTGCCATCTTATGCTTTCAGCGTTTTTCCTTGCAGCAAAAGCCAAGCACAGAAGCAGGCAAAGAAGCAGCAGGAAAAGGGCTGCTTCAGTCTGAGGTTTAAGTCCAGAGCCAAACATTCAGTCCTAATGCATATCTGTTGCAAAAAGAGAAGATTACAAGATCAACCCATACCCTGCCAAGATTGTAAAATACAAGAAATAAGCCATTGTCTTGTGTGTGGAATTATGGCATAAATATTAAAAAATAAATATCAATGATCATATGTTTCTCTCTCTCCCCTTTTTCCTATATCACAACACTCCCTCCCCCTTCACACCTGTCACTTATGTCCACCCTAGCATGTGACTGCCACCCTGTGGGCGCAGCAGGCAAAACTTGCAACCAGACCACAGGCCAGTGCCCCTGCAAGGATGGTGTCACTGGCATCACTTGCAACCGCTGTGCCAAGGGCTACCAGCAGAGCCGCTCACCTGTGGCCCCCTGCATCAGTGAGTAACTCTTACAGACACTACCAGTCACTGCACATCACACTGACAAGTTACATTAACTTCAGCTTGGTAATTTTATCACCTTGTCAATAAGTCACTCACAAATGGTATAACACACTGTTTCTACACAAAAAGTAGCACATATCCAAACCTTGGCAATTACTCAGCTTAATTGGAAGCACACTTCCTAATAACCTAAAATCATTCAGGCCTTCTGACAGGCACCACAACTCTATCTCTTCATGTGTTTTCATTGGGTGCAGCCCAAAGTGTGCACAGTGAAGGGCTCAGGTGTAAACTGCGACTAAACTGAAACGTGACCTTTGTTAAAGACACAAGGAAAAGTTGAAGAAAAGTGGAGAAGTGACTCATGGTGGTTCTTAGAGAGTGCCATTATAGATGTTTAGTGTCTTTCAGTTTAACTCAGTGGAGAGCTGGTTGTGTTTAGTTATTGGGATTTAGTATGTGCATGTGTGCTCTAGTTGCAGTAGTTTGCATGTTGACTACACAGGTTTTTAATTTCCTGTGACAAGCTTGAGAGTGTGCGTGTGGACTATGAAATCTGGCTGTGCCTGGCACATGCAGGCATGTGTAATAGAGGGCAACTTTCCACCACACTGTGAGCCAGGTGGTACAGGCACACACTGCACACGCTCACAACCTCCACCAAAGCAATCCGTGCTACCCAGCGCTGAGTACTGAGCTCTGTCACGCTGTGCCACATGGTGCCATGTTGTTTCTCTCACATGCTGCTCCTAAGCAGATGGTGGATGGGCAAGAAGGGCAAAAAAAAAACTGTGGTCATGGATGGCAGACCCCACTCATTTGAGTGCCAGAGAGCCATCCAGTGAACACAAGAAGAATTGTGCATGTGCTTTTAAGTACGTGTGCACAATTGGATTCATTACAAAAAGCTTTAATGATAACTCTATATGTTAATATGGGCTCATGATGAGCATCTTGCCTTCTGTTGAGGCTCCGGGAACAAAAGATAGGCCCATTAAGCAGCCAGTTAGTATGATGGCAGCAACCCTCATCTGAATGATCCTTTCATCATTTGTCTGTCTTCATGTGATGTGGCCATGAGGGCACTCAGTCTTAAAGTGGCTTATAGCAGCTGTGTCTGCCTTCACCAAGCTCCCTGCCCTTGTTTTTTGTTGGGTTTTTTTTGGTGGGATATCCATAATTT